AATGAAGGGAAGAAGAAAAAGGAGAGAAGAAAGAGATGAAGAAGGAATAAAAAAGAGAAGAAAAGAACGAAGATGAAGGAAAAAAGAAAGAAGAAAGAGGAAGAAGAAACGAAGAAGGGGAAAAAATTAGAAAAGAAAATGGAAGTAGAAGAAAATACAAGAAACTAAGAAAGGAAAAAAATGAGAGAAGAAAAGAAGAATAAAACACAAGAAGCGAAGAAAGGAAAAAAAGAGAGAAGAAAGAGGGAGAAGAAACACGAGAGAAACCAAGAAAGAGACAAGACACCAAGAACTAATTATTCTCTCTTTCTCAGGTTTGATGTTTCGGAAAATTGTTGTGAAAGCTGGAATCTAATTTTTGGAAAAGTTGTCAATTATGAGGCTTCCACAGGTTTCATTTCCTTAGGTCTGTTCTGGTCTCTGGTTTCTGGTTTCAATTTCGCCTTTTTCACTTATTCGTTAGATTCTAATGCTGGTTTCGAATATCATTTTCTTTTCTTTTTATTCATTTTATTTCTTTATCTCTCTCTCTCTCTCTTTCTCTTTCTCTTTCTCTCTCTCTCTCTCTCTCTCTCTCCCTCTCTTCCACCCCTCTTTTCATCTCCTCCCATCCCCTTCTTTCATTCCCTCTCTCCTTCTCTCCTCCCCCTCCCCCCTCCCACTCTCTCTCTTCCACAGTTACCCTCCTTCCTTCATTCCCTACCTCTCCCCCCCCACCCCTCCAAGCCGTCCAGTCAATCAGTCAGTAAGTCAATCAGTCACTCAAGTGCTCATTTTTCCTTCACAGACGTAATGGAAGCTGACTTACCTGGAGTCGAAAATCAGTCACAATTTCGCCAATGTGTCTCCTTGTATTGCTTTTTAAAGATGATTTTTTTTTTCGAGTCTCTGTCTTTGTGTCTTTCTCTCGTTCTCTTTCTTTTTCACCTTTTCTTGACTCTATCTCTTTCTCTTTCTCTTTCCATTTTTCTCTCTCTTTCTCTCTCTCTCTCTGCCTCTCTCTCTCTCTCTCTTAACTCTAACTCTAACTCTATCTCTATCTCTATCTCTTTCCCTTCCCCTTTCTCTCTCTCTCCTCTCTCTCTCTCTCTCTCTCTCTCTCTCTCTTCTCTCTCTCTCTCTCTCTCTCTCTCTCTCTCTCTCTCTCTCCTCTCTCTCTCTCTCTCTCTCTCTTTTATTTATTCTTTTTTATTTTTATTTATTCTTTTTTATCTCTCTCTCTCTTCCTCTTTTATTAACTCTTGATAATTATGCAAGGTTTTCCCCCTTTTTTTTATTCTTCTCGTTCATCAATTATTCCTCTTCTTTGTAACGGAAGTGTGAAGGAGATGAACACAGTCTATCGATTTGTTTGTTTATTCAGTGTTCAAGCTATCGAAGACAGTGGCCGTCTGTTGTATATATCGGCTTTTTTTATCTATCTATCTATGTATATATCTCTATCTATTTATCTATGTTTATATTTATATCTATCTATGTATGTTTGTATATCTATCTATCTATCTATCTATGTATGTATGTTTGTATATCTATCTATCTATGTATATATCCCTATCTATCTATGCATGTTTGTATATCTATCTATCTATTCTGTATATCTAATCTATCTATCTATCGGTGTGCCTATTTTCTCTACTGGTTTGTTGATATATATTTTCTCGTATCTATATATACGTCTATCTAATTCATTGATTTCTGTATGTTTCCCTCTCTGCACATATGTCTATCAGGTATTAGGTATCTGTCTCTTTCGCTATCTATTTGTCTATTCAACTATGATTCTACCTCTATCTATCTACCTCTCCTGTCTATCTCGTTCCTCTCTCTATATCTATCTACAACTTTGCCCACTGGATAGATCTATCCATCTATCTGCCTGCTTATATATGTACCCATCTGTCTATCTATCTATCTTTCCGTCAATCTGTCTGTCTAGCTATCTATATTTCTGTATATCTATCTATTTATCCATCCACCTATCTATCTATCTATCTATCTATCTATCTATCTATCTATCCATCCACACATCTATCTACCCACCCACCTATCTATCTATCTATCCGGTCAGTATCTCAAAGCCAATCCCACGAAGGTAATATCACGAGCGCGAGTGACATAAGAGCGACGAGCCACCGGCAATCAACGCAAATCCCGACCATATAGCGGCGCTGAATGACGGCAGTCCACGGCCGCCTCTCGACACACGCGCTGTTCACCTCGTCAAGGTTGCTCGGCGTCGGAGAGCCATTTTCGCGTTGCCTCTGTCTTGCTCTTGCCTGATTTTCTTTCTCTCTCTCTTTCTCTTTCTCTTCGTTGTCTTTGTCTCTATCTCTGTCTCTGTCTCTGTCTCTTTCTCTGTCTTTCTCTTCGCTGTCTCTGTCTCTGTCTCGGTCTCTCTCTCTTCGCTGTCTCTGTCTCTGTCTCTCTTTGTCTGTCTGTCTGTCTGTCTGTCTGTCTGTCTGTCTGTCTGTCTGTCTGTCTGTCTGTCTCTGTCTCTGTCTTGGTCTGTCTCTTTCTCTTCGCTCTCTCTGTTTCTCTTTGTCTGTCTGTGTGTCTGTCTGTCTGTCTGTCTGTCTGTCTGTCTGTCTGCCTGTCTGTCGGTCTGTCTCACTTTTCATTTGTCTTTCTGTTGTCTTATTTTCTTTACCTCTTCCTTGCTCTTGTCTCATTTTCTTTCTCTCTCTCTCTCTCTTCTCTGTCTCTTATTCTCCTTTGTCTTTCTGTTGTCTCATTTTCTTTCTCTCTCTCTCTCTCTTCTCTGTCTCTTATTCTCCTTTGTCTTTCTGTTGTCTCATTTTCTTTCTCTCTCTCTTCTCTCTCTCTTTTCCCCTCTTTCTGTTATCTTATTTTCTTTGTCTTTCTTTATCTTTCTCTGTCTCCTCTTGAATTATTTTCATCGTCTTCCTTTATCTTTCTCTGTCTCCTCTTGAATTATTTTCATCGTCTTTCTTATCCGTCTCTTATCCGTCTTTTTTTTTATGTCTGTCTGTCTGTCTGTCTGTCTGTCTGTCTCTATCCATCTATCTATTTGTCAAAATGATAATGATAATGAAGATGACAGTAATAATAATATTAATATTAGTGGCAGGAAGGACCACAATAATGATGCAAACAATAATAATAATTATCATTATGAAAGCAGTAGTGATGATGAAAATAATAATGATAATGATCGTGACAATAGTAGTAGTAGCAGTAATCAAAAAATGATGATGATAGTAATAATAATAGTAATAATGATAATAATAATAATAATAATAATAATAATAATAATAATAATGATAATAATAATAATAATAATAACAATAACAGCAACAACAACAACAACAACATCATTAACATTGATAATTAACAAAGATAGCAACAAGGCCTCTCGTTGTATAAATTCTCCTTGCAGACAGAATGCATAGAAAAGGGGAAAAGACAGGGAGTGTTAAAAGAAAAAAAAAAAGAAAAAAAGAAAAAAGAAAAGTAAAAAAGAAAGAAAGAAAAATTCAACCACACACCTTAACACCCCCAATAAACCAAAAACGAAATCACACTCTGTCATCACCCCCACCCCCCCATCCACACCTCCACCCCCACCCTCAGTCACCTGCCTCCCCACTCTCCCTCCCCCACCCCGCCACTCCCTCACTCCCCCACCTCCTCACTCTCCCCCCCTCCCTCTTTCCCCCGCCATTCTTTCCTTCCTTCCCTTCCTCCCTCCCTCCGTCCTTCTCGCACCCTTCCTCCTTCCTTTCTCCTCTCTTTTTCACTCTCTTCTCCCTTCTTTGTTCCTCCCCCACTTCCCCCAGCCCTCCCTTCCTTCCTTCTTTCCTTCACCTACCCCCCTCCTCCCTCCTCCCTCCCTTCCTTCTTCCCTCCACCTCCCCTCCCCACGACCCTCCCCCTCCTCCCTTTATCCCCTCCCATCCCCAGCCCCCTCTCATCCCCCCCCTATCCCACACTTCTTCCACCCCCCCACCCCCACCCCGGAAACGAATAGCCTCTCTGTTGGCACTGGTGTCAGCCGAGCAGGGCCACCGCGAGCTGGCAGGACACCTCGTCACGCATGTATGACATCATGCATATTAACGCGGTCCAGGCTGCTGCTTCCTCTGCTGCCGTCGGCCCTTGCTAAGCCGATGGAAACCGGGGGGGGGGGGGGTGATGGAAGCCTGAGGGGGCGAAGCCGGGGGGGGGGGTGATGGAAGCCTGAGGGGGCGAAGCCGGGGGGGGGGGTGATGGAAGCCTAGGGGGGAGGAGGGAGAAGAAACTCACACACGAAAACACAAATACAAACAAACACGCAAACAAACACAGTATTGTTAACTTTCCTCCACTCTTTCTTTTCCCTTTTTACCTGTTCCTCTCTTTATCATTCTATCTGTTATTCCTCATTCTTTCGGAATTGGAACTGGAACTTTATTTGTTTTCCTTGTCGTTGTTCTTGTTTTTGTTTTGTTCTTCAAGTTGTTTTTGTATTTACAAGGGGTTTTCTTGTTCACTTTTTTTTATTGTCGTTGTTGTTAATAGTATCAACGTTGATAGCAATCATGTTGTTGTTTTTCTTTGCTTTGTTTTTGTTGTTTAACTTGTTTTTACTGTTGTTTTGATTTTGTCGTTGTCCTTGCTTTGTGTCTTTGCCGTTCTCTTTATTTTGCCTTTTTTGCTGAATTTGTTTTTCTTGTCCTTACTTTGTTTTTTGTTTCTTGTTTAATTTGCCTTTGTTCTTATTTACCTTGACTTTGCTGTTGTTGTTCATTTTCGTATTGTTGTCCTTTTTAGTTATCTTTACTTTTCAGTTGTTTTTGTCCTTGTTTTGTATTGGTTATTGTTCTTGCTTTACCATTGTTTTTGTCTTATTTTTGTCTTCGTTATTGACCCTATTTTATCTTTGTTTTTGTCCTTGTTTTGTCTTTGTTTTTGTTCTTACTTTGTCTTTATTATTATCCTTACTCTGCGTATGTTATCCTTACTTTACCAGTACCTCTGTCTTTGTCAGTGTCCTTACTTACACGTACGTCGTCCTTACTTGACCATTGTTTTTGTCCTTGCTTTGAGCTCTCGACGGCCACCCGACTCGCCTTCCTCGACATAGTTAACATGGCTGCAAAGACACTCGATGGAAAGGCCAAAGAGTTAAAGCCAATAGCGCAGAGGGCCTTGTTTGCGAGCTTTGTCATCGCTTTGTGTGTTTGTCTGTCTGTTTGTTTGTTTGTTTTGGGGTGGATGGGGGGTGTGGGTGGATTGGTGTGGGGGTGGGTGTGTGGGGGGTAGGTGGGGGGTAGGTGGGGGTTGGGGGTATGTCATCTCTCCTCTCTCTCTCTCTGTGTTTGTTTGTGTGTATGTATGTATGTGTGTTTTGTATGGATAGGCGGGTGGATGTTTTGTTTGTATGTATGTATGTATGTATGTATGTATGTATGTATGTATGTAAGTATGTAAGTATGTAAGTATGTAAGTATGTATGTATGTATGTATGTATGTATGTATGTATGTAAGTATGTAAGTATGTAAGTATGTAAGTATGTAAGTATGTATGTATGTATGTATGTATGTATGTAAGTATGTATGTATGTATGTATGTATGTATATTTTGTATGCATGTATGTTTTGCATGTATGTATGAGTCCGTCTCTGTCTCTGTCCCTCTCTTTCTCTCTGTCTTTTTTTTCTCTTTCTCGTCCATCTCCCTTTTCTTTGTCTACTTCCTCCTTTTAATTGCAGATCCTTCTATTCAACTCATATCAACATTTTTCCTGGTTCTTCCTTCCTTTTTTCCTCTTCCTCTCCTCTCGCTCCTTTTTTTCCTCCACTTTCTTCTCTTCCTCTTCCTCTTCAGTCTTTTCTTTCCTCTTTATTGTCCTCCTCTTTCTCTTCCTCTTCCTCCTCAGTCCTTTCTTTCTCTTCCTCTTCCTCCTCAGTTTTTCTCTTCTCTTTATTTCATATTCGTCTTCATTTTTCTTTTAATCCTTTTTATATTCCTCTCTCCATCTTCTCTTTCTTCTCCTTCTTCTTATTCCATTTACCTATTTTTCTTTTCAACATTTCTTTTTCCCTCCCCCCCCCTTTCCTTTCCTCCCCAATCCCCAATCCTCCTTACCCCCCCCTCCCCTCCCCCTCACGCCTCCGTCCCTCCTTCTCTTTCTCCTCCTCTTCCCTTTCTATCTCCAGTTTCCATCTCTCTCCCCTTCCACCTCCCCCCCGCCCCCCCTCCCTTCCTCATATTACTTCTCCTCCTAGTCATGCATACTGCAAATTCGCCAGGTTCGTTTTCACCTCTCCTCCGCTCCCCTCTCCTACCCTCTCCTCCCCTCTCCTCTCCTCCCCTCTCCTCTCCTCCCCTCTACTACCCTCCCCTCCCCTCTCCTCCCCTCTCCTCTCCTCCCCTCTCCTCTCCTCCCCTCTACTCCCCTCTCCTCCCCTCTCCTCTCCTCCCCTCTCCTCCTCTCTACTCCCCTCCCCTCTCCTCTCCTCCCCTCTCCTCCTCTCTACTCCCCTCCCCTCTCCTCTCCTCCCCTCTCCTCTCCTCCCCTCCCCTCTCCTCCCATCTCCTCTCCTCTCCTTTCCTCCCCTCCCCTCTCCTCCCCTCTACTACCCTCCCCTCTACTACCCTCCCCTCTCCTCCCATCTCCTCTCCTTTCCTCCCCTCCCCTCCCCTCCCCTCTCCTCTACTCTGCTCCCCTCTCCTCCCATCGCCTCTCCTTTCCTCCCCTCCCCTCCCCTCTCCTCTACTCTGCTCCCCTCTCCTCCCATCGCCTCTCCTTTCCTCCCCTCCCCTCCCCTCTCCTCTACTCTGCTCCCCTCTCCTCCCATCGCCTCTCCTTTCCTCCCCTCCCCTTCCCTCTCCTCTCCTCCCTTCCCCTTTCCCCTCCGTATCCTCTCTCCTTCCACCCCCTACCCCTTCCCTCTTCTCTCCGCCATCCCTTCTCTCTCTTCCTCTCCCGTCTCCTTCACTCCCTCTCTCTTTCCCATCTCCCCTTTCCCTCATTTCTCCTACATCTCTCTTCTTCAAATCTTCCCTTCCTCTCTCCTTCCTTCTTTTCTCCTCCACTCCCTCTTTCGTTCCCATCTTCCCTTCCCCTCTTCTTCCTCTCTTCCCTTCCTTCCTTCCCCTTACTCCCTACCCATCCTCTTCCCTTCCTCTCTCCATCCTCTGTTCTTCCCAGCCCCTACCTCTCTCACTCCCCATTTACCCACCCCTCCCCCTTCTTCTTCTTCTTCTTCTTCTTCTTCTTCTTCTTCTTCTTCTTCTTCTTCTTCTTCTTCTTCTTCTTCTTCTTCTTCCTCCTCCTCCTCCTCCTCCTCCCCCTTCCTCCTCCTCCTCTTCCGCCACCACCACCACCACCTACCTCCTCCTCCTCCTCTTCCTCCTCCTCCTCCTCCTCCCCTTCCTCCTCCTCCTCTTCCGCCACCACCACCACCACTACCTCCTCCTCCTCCTCTTCCTCTTCCTCTTCCTCCTCCTCCTCCTCCTCCTCCCTCCCATTACTTCTGTATAGCACTATCTTCTCCCGACATGTCTACAGCGGCCGCACAATAAGGTCTGATTGTTACTCAAGTCAGCTGTATATGTGTGAGTGTGAATGTGTGTGCGTGCGGGTATGGTTATTCGAATGTATGTACGTGTGTGAAGGTGGGGGGGGGGGGGCGATGGCAGGAGGGATATTAAAGTAAGGGATG